GAGAGCGTCCGAATACTTTCGTGGTCCACTATAAATGGACGACGTCATTCAATTGGTCCCATCATTACCTATTTCTATTTTCGTTCCCTCAAACCCTCGTCCTGTAAGGTACTCGTGTTGTTCATCTCTACGATAAGCCATGAACGATAGATTAAATTTCACGGTGGGATCCACAAGTCGCCGACAAAAAGAATCCGGCGGTGTTTCGGTAGACGTGGCCCGGCGCCATTCTCTTCTAAATATCCTGGATAGGTTGCGGCAGGACGATAAACTCCGAACAAACGATCGAGATTAATAGAACGAGCCCTTGAGCCCCTTCTGCGATACTATCGATCCAGGTCACGACGACGGGACACACCGAGCGACTCTCCCTGGGATCGTAAATTCACGTCGAAGATTTACTTACTTAGCCGGACACTGGTCGCCGACGAATCTCCTATGCTTCATTGCCAGTAAAACCTTCACCTATACAACGCCACCGAGAAATGTTTGATCCTCGATTGCACGAAATTCTATTGTATTTTTTAAACGGGAAATTACTTTACGTTAATAGGAACACCTAGAAATTAATTCTCGATCGTGGCCGGAGAAAAACTGAGGGAATAAGTGAGGACAACTGAATGAGTGGCCAAGACGTTTCGACGTGGTTAGGAGTATTATTATGCAGTCGAGGTTTGATTGTTGCATTTTCCATATTGCACAGTTGCTAAGCAAGAATATAGGAGTAGTAAGGGGAATATGGTGGGTAAGGATGCTACTCATTGGATTGGTTACTTTGATTATTGTACGGACCTCGATTATTGAATTATTGTCCTGGAATAATCGAGGTTCTACTTTATCTACAATTTATTTGAATATTTGATGTACCTGAAGAGGACATGCACTTTTGGTTAAAACAAAGTATGAAATAAAACACTACTACTCTTTCAATTTTGCTCAACCTACCATTAACCAGTTCTTCATTACCTTTTACTATCAAATTTGAATCTATACATGAAAAAATAACACACTCTATCGATATATTTCTTTGTTCATAAATGAACTATTATTTAAGCTACAGAATGCGGAAGTGAATTTGAAAAGCTACCAAAGATCTTTATTAAATACAATTATCCACAAATTCAGTAAAATTGCCTCGGTGAACTTTACAGGAATTTTTTGTTGTTAAATAGGCTTGCAAGGATAAGATGTAGATTTGTAGAAGTACTTTGTAGTTCTTGGAAGCAACCATTCATTTCTTTTAATCATCACGACTTTACATTCGATCTCGAGTGACAATTAACGATCGATCGGCGATCGTCAGTTGTTAATGGAATTACATTTTGCCCAACACGGTCGAACGTTAAAGAAGCCCCACGCGCGATAGCGACGAGGCGTCCCGAGCGAAAACGACGTCTCCACAGTGGCAGCAAATTTAATTTTCCTCGTCTACTAGACGGAAGTCCTTCCCTGGATTCGTCGGGGCGCACCCTTCCTTCTAGTCTTCCGCCACGACCGCCTCCTTTTGGCAATCAAACGAGCAAGAAACGCTGCGGCTTCCGGCAGCTGGTTCTTCGTGGGCAGAACTTGCTCTATCGAACTTCGTCCCGCGATACCGTGGCCCACTGTCGTAGCCTTGAACAATTGGCCAACACTTCGGTGACAGTTGGGAGCAAAATCGAACCGACGAAAGTATTTTTCATGAAAACGATAACTAATTTACATTTGGAGATGTGATGTGCAAAACATTTGCTGCGTGTCTATTTAGACATTTAATTTACTGTTAACATTAATTTAAACTATTGCGTTCACATTATTCAAATTACTCTCGTTATTCAAGTAACACAAGGATTAACTCTTTGCACTCGAGAGGTGACTCTCAGTCACCATTAGGTGTCACGCAGTAAATCTACAATACCTAATGTTTCTTTAGGTTTAATTTTTTGGGAGCTCGAAGTGTCGATAAAATGATTGTCGGTGAGGTAAGGGTGGCCTTATTCTCAAATCTAGATAGCTTAGAATTCATGGCAATAGAATGCTAAAAAACATCTCGAGTTGCTGTCAGATACCAGAAAAAAATGCCTCGAGTGCAAAGGGTTAAAAATTATGAGTTACGTGTGTTGTTACGCATTACACAAATTATTTAAATAATATGCATTGTACAATTCATACAGAATTGTATAGTGTAAATAATAGTTGATATAAAAGTTGAACAAGCTTTTCAAATTATTCGAGTTAATCGAATAATAGAACAATTGCAAATTGTACGAGTACGCATGTTGTATACGCTATGCAAATTATGTAAATAATACAACTTGTACAATCATTTATTTATTAAGTTCCAACAGCGCGGGTAGTGTCGACTATAGTCAAAGTAAATATATCCAGGCCTCACAGTTGTATTTATTTTTTTGTAGACGCAACGATTTTTGTGAGAAGAGTTCGCAAATATTTGTTGGGGATAATCACCACAAGGGGGGTTGAACGTATTCTCGGTGCAGTAAGCATAATAGAAAGCGTTTCTCAGCTCGATGAATCGCAATGTCGCCAGCTCTTACGCCACTGTACATACTCTCTTCCGTCTATATCAGAGGTTCTCAAATTCATTTTGCCTATCACCATCTTCTTCTAAGAGGGAGCAGAATTGTTCATCATCCCCCTGAAAACCTGCCTTTTGAAGTCAGCCAATAGAAATTTGCATAATTTTTTATGTTTATGTCGTTGCAAGTAAGACAACCTTACACCTCCAAAGTTTATGATAACATACTAATTTTTATTAAATCTACAAAACTTTTAGCATGGTATACTTTAATCTTTATTAAGAATAATTCTAATACAAGGTGTACCTAAAGTGTGGCCACATAGGCCAACAAATATCAGAAATATATCTGTACAATTTTCTTCATTCCTCGTGTGTTCAGTCTATAGGAATACCCTATAGAATGAAACACCCCAGGCCTATGAATTAATATAATCGAATTTATAATTCAGCTATTATTACACACTCCTTTATTATCATTTTTGTTATAATACCTTTATAACTAGTTGTTTTGAAAATTACGGTAAAGACTGAAATTACAAAATTATTCATTAAAATCAACCATGATAGCAGATATTTACTATTTACAAAAAATTACAATTACAAAACAAAAAACACGGATAATATTAAAAATAATTCTAATGAAAACGAGGAACCTGGTGAGCCATAAATTATCTTATCAATTTGTTGATATTCAACGCCATCCTTATTTTTATCCAACGACACCTAATTACACTTAAGACTACTAGCACCACCTGCATCGTTCCAGGTTCCACCAGGTGACACGATGTTGGCCACTTTGGGAAGCACTGGTCCACATTGACACAAACCGCACGCGTAAGACGGTCCTCGTGATGGTGGATGTTTGTCTGCGTTCTCGTGGTACACACTCGGTCTATGTACAGGACTTAGCTCGAGGACTTTGCTAGCGTACTTGCTTGCATTTGCCTAACCGCGTTAACGGATCCCGATCCAAATATCAGCCATCGTGCCTCCAAGACCGCTCAGCTAAGCTTCCGCTACAGGATCGTGCCAAGAACTCACCACCCCATTTCGCGTCGTTGACTTTCGAAAGAGTCTCTCCCTGTTCCCCTCAGTGGTCCCTCTCCAACGTACTTCATACATACGCTCTGACTATACTAATGGGATGCAGTAGCTCAAGATATACCCAAAATAACGCCAGGACCTTTCGAGGTTTTATGTTGCCCACAAACTTTTCCTTTGAACGTCTGAGTAGTTCGTTAGGAAAGTGGTGTAAGTTTATCTTCCTTTATTTGGGGAATGTAAGTGGTTTATGTTGCAATCAATGAATGATTGTTTTGCTTTCTTTACTATTTATTAAGCTTAAACAACGTTACAATAAAGGTAACCTTTATCATTCAAATTGTGTTTTGTCTTCTGAATAAAATTTTATGGTAGGCATACTGATAGACACTGAGAATGGGGTAGCAGTTTTCACCCTGATGAAATTTACAGAATAGTTGCAAACAGATTGTTTCAAAGCCGTGTATTGACCAACTCAGCCTGATCTATGAGACTGACTTGTAGTTTACTATCTCAGACTCATAATCAATACAATACAGTAGTTTATCCATACAAAGTGCAAAATAAATAAAGATTGAATGGGTTAAAGTGATGTATGCACTTGTGATATTGCTTTTCATATACAAAAATATGAATGGAACAGTCAATAGCATTCCGAACATTTCTAGATGGCCCACTGTTGGAATTTATTTTTCTTGAGGTTCATTTTTCTCACCTACCAACGGTACATGAGGTTCAAATTCAATCTACGCAACGTACGCTACCTGCTTCCTTTTCATTTTAATTCCACATCAACTCATTACGTACATTAACTCTTTGTCGAGTAAGCATTTGTGTATAATACATAACTAGTAAGAAATTGTATATATGTTACTTATTTAATAAATATATTATATATATTGTATATCATATTTATTTTTAAGCGGAAGTAGAACCTGAAATTTGTTTATGTTATTATTTGATAAAATATTGAAAACAGCAAAATACAATGTACTGTATCAGATAAGTACTTACTTCCAAAGTATTAAAATTCATTTATTGTGTGGTATTCCTCAAAGCATGAGTATATTGGAACAACGGCACGCATAAATTGCCAGACACTTCTAATTAATGTTATTTCTTTTCCGATTTGTACTCTGTTTGGCTAGAATAAGTTTGAACGCACCGGTGCGTCCGTACTTGTCAAAGGGTTAAATCTATAAATCGCAATTTTTTAAGAAATTTGTATACAAAATTATCCAATCATTTTATCAGCTACTCGTAACTGAAGAAATCCATGAAATTCATTCTTTTTCTATAGTCATTCGAAATATTTAAGTGACCGTGGTATAAATTAAACATACTGGCAGTGGTGTTAGTACTCTGAATACAGTATTATATAATAGAATGCAAACATTGAAGATGGTAGACTTACAGTGTGAAAATATTTCTGTTGCAGATGAGTGGCAAACGAACGAGGAGCTTCAAGTGCGCGGTTCACCATCGTGACCGTGAGGTTTGCTCGGAAAACGATTTTCACCTGCTCGTGCACGAGCCTCCTCTCTTTCGCAGGTATGATTATAACTCAAACTTAATTTCTTACTGTAAAACTATGACAATTATTTGAAAAGGGAGTGTTATAGCTATCAACCTGAAAAAGAGTATTATTATTGGAAAACAGTATATCTAAATAGACCACAGTATGAACCTGATCATCTAGCTAGAGTGTTCAACTGCTCTCTGGCAGTAACATGACTATTCAGGGAAGATATTGAAGTGTATCTTAGTAACCCTTAAAAAAAAATGATGTCTTTCGGTTTCATATTTTGAAGAAGAGAATTCACACAGAATCAACACAGAATCACCATTAACACATTGTTGACCAGTCACGAGTTAACTCGTGCTTGCACTTTCATTATTTATTTCAATTTATGAAACCCAGGGCGATATAGAATATTGCAAAAGCTTTGCTCATCATGTTTAGTCCTGTCGGTTTTTGATTTTTTTTTAACAATAGAATATACTCTCCTCAGTATTTAGGTTTATATCACTCAGGAGTTCAGTAGGTGACATGAAGTCGCTTCTGGGTAAAATTGCCAATCAACAATGTGTTAATATTTAAGTGTCTGTTTGTATTACTGTGTCTACTCTCTACAAAAACATACTAAACGAGTCCCTGTATTTGTGGTTTGAAAGCCAAGACTTGAAAATATCGCGAAGTTCGAAAAACCGTTTGAGAAAAGAGAGGTCAAGTATCGCCTAGCAATACTCGTCTCTATTGCATTCGGTAACAATCGTGAAAATAAAAATGGAGCAAAGAGCAATTCGCATCCGCGCCTCATACGATCCCTCTGTCGTCCATCTAGAGCACGAAATCTCTACGCTACCAAAGAGAAATTCCTGTGCACATAAGATAAGAAGCGCCGGCAACCTGCAGGCTCTTTGCAAATAAAATATCGCTCGGGCGTCAAGCGAACAGAAGATAGAAGAGCACGGATGGAAAGTGAGGGGGAAGAAGGCATAGAAACGAAGGGTGGTCGGGTGGAAATATAACGAGACGATATTCCAGGCAGGTAGTGCGAGCACGCTTGGAATTCGACGCGAGTAGAGCCCTTAAGTCTCGCGGCATTCCCCTTTTCTCATCGTCGCTCCTGTTCTCGCGTCGTGACGCCTCAACACCTCGACGCCCCCACTCGTCACCGATGGGGGAAGGACCACGCAAATTTTCGCGACGAATCTGGGAAACGTATAAAAGTGGCTCCACGACACCCCCGGGACCCGCGAACCGCTTTCACATCAGAAAACTAAGAATGCTTTACTGCCGGCGATACGTCTAGCTGGAAGCAATCGCAAACGACCGCGTTGAATTCGAGAAGAGGTAGGTTGATGTAGAACTTTCTTGGTAGCCAACGCCACCTGTCGACGTTACGTTTCGAAACGAAATATGGGGTCCATCATTCATGTCACTGTTTCAAAAATTGCCATCTATGTATGTATAGAAATCGGGATTGTAAGTTTCATAATTTTCTGATGGACCACTATCGAGGTATCAAACAAACGCCAACATACGTGCAGAGATACATCCAATCGTGCAGAATTTCTTTAAAAATTTAATCGCTTCAATATTTCACATAGAGGAGTCGCGATACTAAACTTCATGATTTTCGGATGAAATATTTTATTTATAAGGTACCAAGGAAAATGGAGCCCAATACACATACACACACTCATGCATAGAGAATTTCTTCAAACATTGAATGACATTGATATTCCATATACGAAACTCGTCATATCAAAATTCATAATTTTCTGATGGTACACTTTTGAGATATAAAAAAACACAGGGTTCTACGTACATAATACACAAATCCATACAAACAGCAGTTGGTTTAAAAAAACGAAACGTACCAATACTGTATGTAGATGAAGTCTTCATATTTAATTTCACCATTTTGTGATGAATGAGAATTACTCGTGAGATATAAAACAAAGCAAACCACAACATACATACGCATACACACATGTATTTTCAAAAATGGAGTGACATCAGCATTCCATACATAACAATCATGACATAAAGCTTTATGATTTCCTGATAAACCATTCCTGTACGCGAAATATAACACAAAAGAACTCAACATACATGCATACATAGATCCATACATGCAAAATTTGGTAACCGATATTTTTGCATTTTTGGACTCGGTCCACCTCAAAATATCGATAAATGCAAAAACTCGAGGGTGTCGAATTTTGTCGGAGACCAATACTTCCCTTCCGGCATATTCAATAACAGCCTGGAGAGTAATAGTACGTGGGCGGGGTCATGTGACCGACGAAGACAGTTATACGCTCCGCGACAAACGTCTAGCGAAATTGTGGGAAACTCTGCTCTAGGAAGAAATTTCTTTTCGATTCATGCGCATTAATGTTAATGCTTGCTTTCAGTCGTGAAATTCAAGGAAGCACCGAATGATGTTATTAAAAGTCTCAAGAATTTGTCTGGAATCTCAACGTTTTCTATGCTTTTATTTTCTTAACTGTTAAGTGCTACAGAGAAGAAGTATTGCTCTGAGTCAAAATGCAAGGATTACATTTTATTTAAAAGAATTTGTTTAAAAAATGAATAGCATCAATGTTGCGTATAAACAAGTCCTTATACTAAATTTCATTGACTTTCTGACGAAGCACATTAGAGGTATGAGACACAAGGGATTCCAACATATACACATTACATACATACACGTGCACATTCATACGTAGAAAATTTGGTAAAAAAAACTGCATGACAGTAATGCCCCCTATATATACTATAAATCACTGCACCAAGTTCGTTTGATTATCCGAAGTTGACGTTTCTATCTCACCCTGACATTCACCACCGCAATTTCAAACTTCTCGAGCCTGTTCCACCACAATTTCCAAAGAACGACGACTATTTTACTCCTCCAAGCCGGTGTAACCCCTCAAGCCGAGTAATTGGCGAACCGCGCGAAGATTCCCAGCGTTCCCAGTTCCATAATTTTAGTCTAGCGTCTATAGGTCCCTCTCGCCGGCACGCAAGAGACGTTTTTAATCGGAGTTTCCGTAGAGCGTGCACGGAGCGGAAAATTTCTACGAGAAACACGGCTATTAACCGTAGATTCCTTTCTGTTCTTCCGTCTCCCGCTTTATAAATCCCTCGGCGCAGCGTGCTCTCGTTCCTGGCTCGAATGCGCCCGTTTTATACTTACCCTTGGCAGAAGAGTTCACTTCGAGCCTGGCGGAGGCCCCGGCTTTCTTCGTCGCCAGGCTCAGCGAAAGCTATCTCCCAGACCTGGCTGACTCCGGATATAAAGCGTCTCGGATAGATATAATCCACCGCCAAGCTACGAAACAAAGATTCACCCTGCCCACCCTTTATGACGTTAAACTTTAGTTAAGCCTGCGGAGTTAATATGACTGATTCCATTTTCACTCCCTCGTAATTCCCGCCGCTAACGCCTAGCTGCGACGCTGGCCAGCATTTTTTTAAGCCATGAAATAGCAGCGCCCGAGGTTCGTTAAATAATGGCCGATTCTGGCGACGTTCCTTTCGCGGATTAAATCCGAGCTATCGCGGGCGAGCTGAATTCGCAGAGAGCTGGCAACGTTGCGCGGGACTTTTTTTGGTAAACCGCGGTAGTTATCGAGGTTACTCTACGTTTTCAAACGAGGTATGGGAACGACTATGTTAAATTCTCTGTTTCATTTATGAAATTATTCCAAAAATTGCCATCAATGTATGTATTGAAGTTAGGATGATAAGCTTCATAATTTTCTGATGAACCACTATCGAGGTATCAAACAAACGCCAACATACACGCAGAGATACATCCAATCGTGCAGAATTTCTTTAAAAATTTAATCGTATCAATATTTTACATAGAGGAGTAGCGATACTAAACTTCATGATTTTCGGATGAATTATTCAATTAATTTCTAAGATAGCAATGAAAACAGAGCCCAACATTCATTTCGTTTCGAAATCACCTTTTTTGATAGTTTCGTTGTAGTAAATCATTTTTATAAATTTGACTATGAGTCCTGGTTTTGTAGCAGTACAGGTCAAACATGTACTGTAAAGTTTATTATAACTTTTGTAATAAAAATATAAAAGGTTTTTAGGAAGAGATTTTCGAAAGACTTTTTATTTGATTTGTATGTAAAAATTATTTTTATTTGCTTCACTATACTATTACTATCTTTATGGAAGAATTTAAATCTCGTCGAATATCAAGCGTCACTCAGACATTAAACCACTGCCAGAAAACGCAAGTGACGTAAATTGACACCGGGGCGAACATAATTTCTCAATCGATTGACACAAACTGACGTCTTCGAGACTTTTATGGCTAAGAAAATAGAAGAGGAAATCGAAGAATCCCAGTAGTGAAAAATTCTAAGTTCAGATTATTCTCCACATTTAAACAAAATCAATCTATTAACACAATATTATAATAATAAATAAACATTAATACATACAAAACGTAGCGATTGAAGATGACTAGTTAAGTATTATTTCGCTTTTAACGCAAAGCTCCCAAATTATAAAATCCAACCTAGAATATTTGATACTCCTAAGAAATCAAGTCATAAATATAGAATGAAATTTGTTTGTACGAACCTTTGTTTGCAAGAAATTTGATTTTAAAATGCAGAGCACGAGCGCGTTTCGCTCGGTTCAATGGCGCACGTGCCCCGCGTATTTTTTTAAATCGAATACCTCGAAAACAAAGACTCGTACAGAAAAATTCTACTGAATATTTTCCATTCATTTTTTCGAGAAGAATGGTATTCTGGATATTCTGAGAATTTTATTTGCAATAAATGTTGTCTTACTTTTGATAACAAGGCAGAACAAAACCAAGCAAGATTATAACTCACAAATCTACGTACTCGTTCGGTAACGAGGTACACTGTGACGTATATATCTGATTATTAATTATCAGATTGTATTACACGATTGCTGGTTCTCTACTCGTTCGTTCGCAGATACTAACTACCATGCCAAGTAGCTTTTGCGGAAAAGAGTAATCAAGACTACGATTTCT